ATTATTTGTAAGAAATCTGAAAGGCTTAAGTTAGAGAATGGTGAAGGGACAAACATTCAATATAAAACTTGGTAGCTGTAAATAAAAAAAATATATATATATTGAAAAGGGCTTTGTGACTATCTGAGTTTCTGTTAGAAGGTCTCTGTGGCCCTTAAGTGAGCTAAAAGTTTTAATGGAGCATCTTGGTTTGTTTTCAAGAAGCTGTATGTCTTTCAAATAAAAAAAATAGTTTATGAGAACCTCGCTCTTATGTCTTTGTGTAAAAAAGATCCATTTACAGCAAAAAAAACGCTGAAATGTATATTGTAGAATCTTGTGAGGGGAAAAAGAACTCTAAAAATGTGTTTACAATTAAAAAAAACCCCTCAGGGATGGTTCAGACACATGTTTGAGTACAATGGAGCTGACCCAACGTGTTCAACTGAATGGCTTTAACCACACCCCCACTGAATAGCCAGGGTGACTGAGATTACCTATCCTTGTTGCCATCAGGGTTAATCGTATTAGTGATCAGTAATTAAATGTGATGGGTGTATACCCACAGTAAGGGAGCTGGGTGGGTGATGATGGTGAGCTCTGATTATTATGAAATGAAATGAAATCTCAGGAGTTCGCAGACACTATTGCACAGTTTAAATATACCCCAGGAGTTGGTAGAACTCTATTGGACAGTTTAAATATGAGCCGAGGAGTTTGTAGAACGTTATTGGACAATTTAAATATAACCCAGGAGTTGGTTGAACCCTATGGGCCACTCTTTCTAGCAACTCAAAGTAATTAAAATAATACATTTACAAAAATAAACAAGGGTCTAACCCAAAACTGAAATGTTTTGGGTGCTCACAAACCTCCACCATACTTTAGAACAAGCATTTGCTCTAAAGACAATCAAACATTTAAATGCTATGAGTATTTGTAGGGTGCTTACTATGGTTGTGATACACTCATTTTATTTCAAAAACAACCCCCAAACTTTAAGCATAAAAGAAACATGTTTAAAAAACAAACAAATCCCAAGACATTCATTGATATCTGCAAGGGGGCCCCACTTGGGAATGGTGTACAGTTAAATAAATATATGGAGATATACCTATCTCATAGAACTGGAAGGGACCTTGAAGGGTCATCTAATGTTACCCGAAATTGGGTCAGCTAGTGAGCTTAGGGAGGACTAATGACCCACCAGAGTTTGGCAGAAAGCAGCACGTTTATTATATGGATAGCCAAGCTCAAAAGAAGCGGGGGGGGGGGAGGGAGGGTGTCACACTCACACTCGCATACTCTCGCTCCCAGGACAGGCACGGCACTGGAGATGTCAGGATCCTTCAAGGTAAATTTCCCACAGCACAGCGATGGATGGTGCGATGAAGGTAAGTCTTCCTGAGGCACGATGGAATGCAACGCAGAGAACCACTGGCCAAGCGGTCCGGGCGAAGGGCCTCCACAGGAGGTACAAGCTTGTGCACACCTGAGCACATGGCCCCTTCTCCTTTTAAGGACCTGCTCCTCATGGCCTGCGACTAGAGATGACTTGGCTGTGTCTGGTTGGTCACACTCCACCTCAGCCAGTGCCCATGCAGTGTCTATGCACTGGGCGTGTGATCGTTGCCTAATTAGAGTCCCGGACATCTTGTCTATCTAGGATCTCTTCTGATGTTCCAGCTGTTTAAGCAGCCCAGTCATCCCACAAGCATTCCAGGAGGGAGGGGAGGGGGAAATCCACTTCACAGGTATTCAAAGAGGGAGAAGAGACAAGGGGGAGGGGGGTGTAACAGACCTTTTGAGCATACAGGTTATACAGAGCATACAGATCACTGCTGCTCCTACAACACTCCGCTCCTTGATCTATGATCAATACTGTTATTGTTGTTTTTGTAGGACACAGGTGATCTGTTGCAAACAAACCAAACAGTTATAACCAGATGAATATAACTAAAACCATTACAATTGACTAACACTAGATATAATATAAACACAAATGCAAACAATCACAATATAATAATTGGGAATACAATAAAACCATCATAATTACAATAATTGGGTACATTGACAAACAAAATGAGGCCCAAGTTTGATGCTGCAATAGCCATCAAACAATAAATGTCAACCCTAACCCTTAAATACACACAACAAATAAGATTTGTAGGAGTACCACAGTTGTCATGGAAAATGTAACTAACAATACAAATGTATCAATAACAAAACTTAACAACAAAATGATTATTAGAGAACCTAACAAAAATAAACCTGATGTATTTACTTTAAGGGATTGTTGTGTATGGTGATTTATTGTTTTTTCATTGAAAGAGAAAAATGTATTTTAACCATACACAAAAAAAATTAGTCAAAAGCAGCCCCATTGTGCAGACAACTTAATTCCCCCACCCAAGGTCACAAAAGGGAATGTTAGCGGATGGGTGCATAAAGTCCTTAAGTATCTATTAATTCAGAGTTGTGGTGATCTAATCAACCTGCTAACTACAGACTTTTGAAGTCTGATTGAATCAAAGAGATAGGATGGTATTAAAACCTCAGTTTTTTGGAGACTGTCTTCTTTCAACAGAAACTATCTTGAATTGAATTGCTGCTGCACTGCAAGAGGAGGTATGCTCCCTACTTTTAACTCTGAAAATATATATTATATAACGTCACACTTTGGCCATGCTGTCCTTACTAAATAATGGTACCTATCTTCATTGCAGTGTGATCTGTTTAGCGTGGAACCAGTACCTTTAAGCTGCATTTCACCACCAGGCCAAGGTGGTAAAAAACAAAAACTATTTTTAACTATAGTTGTGCTTAATACTGTTAAATTAAAAAACTTCAGGTATTACACAGATTGTATAGGGGTTTGATGCATTTAGGGAATGATACTAACTAAACATTTTGCTTGTTTTTTAACCCAAAAGCCCAAACACACATGGGGGGAAACAGAACAGCCATGTGCCAGCAACCCTTTATCCTGTGGTAGAAGGTAACTTTCTGCAATTGGCTTTTAAATGCATGTGGGTTTATTGAAAAGTATTTTGTTGCAAACTGATGGTATGGTGTGTTTCAAACTAACAGTGTTTTTCTGTGCAAAATCAACAAGGAGTCTGGTGGCACCTTAACGACTAACAGATTTATTTGGGCATGAGCTTTCGTGAGTAAAAACCTCACTTCTTCGGATGCATAGAGTGAAAGTGGATCCGAAGAAGTGAGGTTTTTACTCACGAAAGCTCATGCCCAAATAAATCTGTTAGTCTTTAAGGTGCCACCAGACTCCTTGTTGTTTTTGTAGATACAGACTAACACGGCTACCCCCCTGATACTTTCTGTGCAAAATGGTTTTTAAAAGTTGTTTTTTAAAAGCAGTTTGGTTTTTATTCTGCAAAAAAATGTGTTTTTTTTAAATGGATTGTTTGCCTTCTTAAAAGAGTTGGCTTTAATGTTTAAATTGTTAGTAATTCAGGGGCCTAAGCTTGAGATAAGTGTGGGTGTTTAAAAAAGTATTTTGTTGCAAACTGTTGGTGTGTGTGTGCGCGTGCACAAAACATAGTTTTTGTTTTTTTTTAAGTATATGGCTGCAAACTATTGATTTGGTGTGTTTCAAACTAACAGGGGTTCCTGTGCAAAATGTGTTTTAAAATTGATTTTAAAAGTTGTTTTTTTAAAGTAGTATGGTTTTTAATTCTTCAAAATGAGATGTATTTTTTTTAAAAATGTTTGCGGGTGTTTTGTTTTTTTTAAGTGGTAGAAATAAACTCAAAACCTGTGTTTGTTGTACAGCCGAAAATGGTTTATTTTGTTTTAAAGCTATGACTTTTTAAATAGAAAAACACCCTAATGAGTATTTTATATTTTAAGTTTACAAGAACGTTTCATGTGTTTTATAATAATCATGTTGTCTGTTCCACAGTACGGTCAAAACATGAGATCCTTAGACCAGAGGGTAAACAAGCTCAAAAGAAAACTGAAAAGGAAAATTCACCAGCATCAGTGACTGATGGATGGATGAAGCCCAGTAAATATATTTTGCTTATTGGTTTGGTTATTTTATGAGATTGTGTATTTTAAGTAAATACATAGGTGTGGGTGAGAAAAATGGTAAAGTTAAGTTTTGTAAAATGTTTTTTCCCCCTTAACTGGCATGTGCAGCTCTCCTGACAATGCTGTAGTCGGAGCTACAGGGACACCTCCACCAGAACCGCCAAAGAACCAGGAATCTGCTTTGAGACATTTAACGACGCCAACACAAAACAGCATAAGAGTACAGATGAAGCATCAGGGCAATCCAAACCTCATATATTTAAAACCCAAGGACAAAACAAAAGACTCTGGTAAAAACGAACCACGCAAACACAACTCCAGTTTCTCAGCGGCCACTGGCACACCAAGCCCTGAGAAAATGGTGAGCGAAAATGCCCACATTCACAAACCTGGAGCATGTGCTGTAGGGGTTGTGAATAAAAAAACAAGGACTGAGAAACCATTCTCCCAACACCATAAGCTCATCGCAGCTCCCCCATATTCTAGTATTTGGGAAAAGTATGATGGACGCTGAAGCCTCAGGGGTTCTAAAAGAAAGGAGGACTGGAAACATAAGCTCCTGTGGGTGACTTTTTGAAAACTACTTCAATTTTTCCAAAGCGTGGCTCTGAGCAGGCGTGACTATTCGTGGAAAGGGGCCTGGATAAAAGGGTACACATCAGCTAAGGTGCAAACAAAAGGGAGGACAGCGCCTGGGGACTAAACAGACAGCTGCCAAAATGTTCCAGGCCAGGGTGGCTGTAAAAATTTTAAAAAAGGCTAAAGAGGTAATCAGGGGAAAAAACCCAAAGAGATGCTCCCTACTGGAGGCTCTCAGACTGGCTTGTCTGAAAATGGGGAGGCGGAATCTGACCTGCGGGGTAGTGGTTACTCACGCAGAGTCTGATTTAGAAAATTCTCCAGAAGGCTGTCTAGATGGGTCCCCATCTACTCCTGATGACCCTCACAGAGGTCCCTTGGAGTCTGACTCTCAAATAGCCTCTGACGTAGAAGATGGCGCTGATGGTCCCGTAGAGGAATCCCCAAGTAACCCTGACAATGCAGAGGTGCATATGGAGAGAGTGAGAAGTTGGCAATGTGAATTACCTAGATTTGGGGGGTCGGTGTATTGTGAGGAATTTTGTTTTGTCAATCTTGAGCAAATAAATTCAGTTCAGGAGGTTGTTGAAGCCATACACAGGGGGATACAGTTAGTTCTCAATGACATTAATGGTAGGGTAGGCCCTGATGATTATGTTCAGTCATGTTTAGAGAGCCGTAATTTAACTAACCCTTTGTTTTTGGTCAGAAGAACTGGGGATGAGCTGTCTGCTGAGGATTTCTTCAATCAGACCTCAAAGCTGCTACTGAGCAATAGAGAGCTGCATGTCCATGGGATGTTTTGCCTCATTCTGACAGTTGTAAGTGTCTGTTACAGCTTTCCCCCATTCCATTTTGTTTCTTACAGCTGTCCCCTTACTCCATTTTGTTTTTGTTCTCCTCCTGTGGCCACCCCTCCCTGGCTGTTAAGTTGTTTACCAGGGCCACTGCCCTTCTCAAAGGGAGGGCCCCTTAAGTTGTTTACCAAGAGCCATTGCCCTTCTCAAAGGGATGGCCACTTGTGCTGTGTGCTAAGTGGGACCACTGCCCTGTTCAAAGGGTTGGTCCTGTTATCACCTTGTTAAACCTGGGCTCTGTGTAGGGTAGGCAATGTCCAGAGCTGCAAGACCTGATGTGTTTTTGAGATCCTGGGCATGAGTCATAGGCCTCATGTGCTTTTGAGTCCTGAGGTGGGAACTCACGCCTATGGTCCAGGACTCTGCCCAGGCACCTCTCTATGCTCACCTGCAGTTTTCCCCTGTATCTCCTCCCCTGTGACAGAAGGAGCCTATCAGGGATAAGTGGGGAAACTGCCTGAGATTGCCTTTAAGAACAGGCATTTTTTAAACAAACCTCAGAAAGGTTCCTGCATTGCTACCTGGTCTGATCAGCCAGGGGTTCTGGGGGGTCTCCGCTCTCTTTTTATTTTTGAGCGTACCCCCGTTTTTAACTGCCCCCCCCCGAAGAACGAATTGCTGCCTGAGAGACCTCCTGATTATCAAGACCGTACCGAGCCCTCCTTGCTTCTTCTGATGTTGTTGCTGCTTCTGCCTTTGCTGCTGCCTTGGGGACTGGTAAGAATCCCTCTGTGAAACTTTCTATACTTTTATTACTTTAGCTGCTGGCTCTGTTTCCCCAGCACACAGACTCAAGCTAAACCTTGGTCTGT